TAATAAATTGACCCTGAATTTGCGCTGAAGTCAAAATATAAAGCATATTCTACATAAAATGCATGTTTTTTTTGCGTTGAAAATTCATTTAAAAGCAATATTAACGAAAATATAACGATGGAAATTTATGTCACGTGACGCCACGTCACGTCACGTTTCACACTTGGGGTTGTAAAAGAGAATTGAAACAATTTGCATTAATTCAAAAAACTCTAAAAACAACTAGAATTGCTCCAAATCATATCAAAATAAGTTTCATCAAAATAGCCATCCACAATTCGCAGAGTTTTGCGATTTTGTAAGAAAAGAAAAAATCAACTTCCATTTTTTGTCACGTAACGACACTCTCTTTAAATGCTTATATTTCAGGACCAAGCAGTTCGATTGATTTCATTTTTCGGTTAAATATAGAGCTAATTATGTGCTATACAATGGCCCAAAAAAGTTAAAGAAAACAAATGGTATTCCTTTTTTGTATCACATTGAAATCGTACGACTGTCACGTGGGTTTTGAAAATATTTGTTTGTTGTTTCTTAGCTTAACTTTAGGAGGGTTGCTACCTTCTTGCAATGTCGAATTTAATTAACTTATCCAGAAGTTATATGGAATGTAAAAATAATGATGTGAAACAAAAGACTATTAAGAAGACTTTAGTTTGAACACACAAAATATTTTTGAGGTGTTGGAAGAGGGTTGCCACCTGTTTAAAAATTAAATTCAAATTATTAAATAAGTTAAATGAATTATAAAATATGGGTATCAAACGAAGGGGGGTTGAAAAATCTTTATTTATGAACTATATTTAGCGGAGTTGCCACATGTTTAATTAATATAATTCAACTTAATTCATCAGTTGATTAAAATATGTATCGCAACGATAGACGAAGAATATTTAAGAAAGCGCGAAACTACTTTTCAAAAGGGCTGCCGCCTGTTTAAAAAGTTGAATTTAACTATATCTATATATATAATACGCGAAAGGACATTTGGTCCAGGTCATCAGATCTGAACCATTCGTTTGATTTTCAAAAATGAGGTATCAAATTAAAGGGATTGATATGTAGGCAGTAGGCTTTTACTTTTCCGGAAAGAATGCCCACCTTTTAAAAAATCAAGTTGAGATTATTTATAAATCAATACCATCATATCACCATCCTTCGCTCGATTTTCAAAAATGAGGTGTCAAATTAAAAGGCTTGGTTGTAGATGTGCAATGAGGTTTTACTTTTTGGAAAGAGTTGCCATAAGTATCAGTCGAAATGGTTATTAAAAGCTTTGCTTCTTAACTGTGAAAGTGTTGACCCTGTTTAAAAAATCTAACTACATTTTAAACAGGGAAATTACATAGGTAATTTACAAAATGTTCCCCCACAGGGGTCCAGACTAAAGGAGTTTAAAAAGGTAGTAATTAATGTAATGTTTTGAGAAGGGCTGCCACCTGCTTTAAAAGCCGAATTTAGTTATAAGCAGTAATAAAATATGGGCGTTAAACGAAAGAGTGCTAAGAAATCTTCAATTTAAAGATCAAAATTTTGTTTGATGGTTTGAAGAGAATTGCCACCTGTTGAAAATTTTAAATTTAAATGAATTATAAGTTAAATAAATTACTAAAAGAGGTGATTTAATCGTTCATGGGTTTGAGAAGGATTTATATCTGAACTGTTAAGGAGAGTTGTCAGGTGATAAAAAAATTAAAATCAATTTAATTCTTCAGGTAATTAAATTATGTATCAAAGTATCAGACGGAAGAGCTTTAAAAGATTTCAGTTTGAAAATGCTTCGCAGAAGGTTGCCACATGTTTGAAAAGCCTAATTTATTTAGCTTTTACACAATTTTAATAAAATATTAAAATATGAGTGTCAAAAGAAAGAGCTTTAATAAAACTTAAGTTTGAAAATATTTTTTGTTAGGGTTGCCGTCTATTCCATTTTTATTTTGAGCGATAAAGTTCGGTAATTGTGTTGTCAGCTGTCTCGATGAAGTCAATTGGCCCCCCTCGGAGCCGCGATTTCACGCCCTTAGACTTTTTTGTGCCACGTGACTTTTTTGTGCCATCTTAATCTTAGTTCCGTTGTGACTTTAAATAAAAAAATAAACTTTTAAAGTTTTTAAAAACATCACTTCAAACTAAAAAAGATTTTTTTTTCTGGTTACTTATTTATTTTTTTATCAAAAAAATACCTTGTCTTCAGTGACATTATTTCAAACTAAAACATATATGAATGTGGTCATGCGATAAAATTTTTTAAAAAGTCATTACATCTTATCTCTTAAAAAAAAAATTAACTTTTAAAGTTTTTCAAAGACATCACTTCAAACTAGGTTAGGTTAGGTTAGGTTAACTCGGCTGCCCTAATCCCTCAGGAAAAGGGCACACTTAGGCCACCAAGGGCCCGTTGTGATGCCGTATAAGAGACTCCATATGTCCCTCCTCTTACCCTAGTAGTGGAACCACTTCGTTGCTCTGATGAAGCGCACAAAGTCATAGACACTGGCTGAATCCAGTTCGGCCAGACATTCAAAAGAATAATGGAGGAACGAGCATCGGCGAGCTCTAGCCAGAGCAGGACAGTGGCATAAGTAGTGCTCCACGCTTTCGATTTCCTCCTCATCGCGGCAGCTACGACAGTAGTCGTTTGACTGCAAACCCATTCTAGTGGCGTGGATTCCCATCAGGCAATGCCCGGTGAGAACTCCAATAACATGCCGCAACAGTGGTCGCTCCAAGTGGAGAAGAGGGTGAGATCTACGCTTGTCAAGCTTAGGCCAGATATGTCTTGCTATCCTGCAAGTAGGCTCCGCAGACCATCTTATATTAGCCTGTCCGACGAAGTTATTCTCAAGCCAGAGCTTGCAAGAAGATAGCGGAAGGCCCGCATTACGGGCTGTACTGATTGCAGGCAACAAGGTTCCTTTCCTTGCTAGTTCATCTGCAGTACAGTTTCCTGGTATGTCTTTGTGGCCTGGCACCCACACAACATTAGTGACGTAACACCTTGCCAGTTCATTAAGAGTACGTCTACATTCCAAGACAACCTTCGACGTAGATTTGTCACTATTAAGTGCTTTAATAGCCGCTTGGCTGTCAGATAAGATTGTTACCGCCTTCAGATTAATTAGAGAATCGATCAGCCAACTTGCAGCTTCATTTATTGCTGTTAGTTCAGCCTGAAAAACGCTGCATAGATCTGGCAGACGGAAACTGAGGCTAAGTGAGAGTTCTTGCGAGTATACCCCACTTCCTACCTTCAGATCCAACTTGGAGCCATCAGTGTAGATGGCTGTTGAGTCAGAATACGATATCAGGACCGAATCCTCCTCCCATTCTTCCCTTGAGGGGATCCTTGTCCGGAAATAATTCTTTAGTCCCGTAGACGGGACTGTGTAGTCCAGGCGCCTAAAGTCATCTGGAAGATTTTCCAAGATTCTAGAGTGCCCAAACCTCGTGTCACTCCATTTGATTAGCGCATTTAATCTAATAGCATTACAGCTTGCCTGTAGTTTACCATATAGGTCCACAGGTAGCAAGTGAAGCAAGGTCTCTAGGGCTTTAGTCGGCGTCGATGGTAACGCTCCCGTGATCATCATGCACGCCACCCTTTGGACCGCTGTTAATTTGTTTCTTATTGTAGGTTTATCTACGGACGGCCACCAAACCGTTATGCCGTAGAATAGAATGGGACGCACAACCGCTGTGTACATCCAGTTCACAATATGAGGCTTCAATCCCCATTTTTTCCCAATCGCCGATTTACAGGCATACATAGCAGTTATAGCTTTCTTGCAGCGCTCTTCTATATTGCGCCGCCAAGTTAACTTTCTGTCAAGAATAACGCCCAGATATCTAACCTCCTCCGAGAAAGTCAGTACGATACCGTTCAAGGAAGGAGGTTGTAGCCGGACAGCTTTCGTTTTCTTTGAAAACAGAACCATGGCCGTTTTTGCCGGATTGACACTAAGTCCTACTTCTTTGGACCAGGTATCCACGACGCGTAAGGCGCCTTGAACTAAGTCACATAGAACTTGGGGGTGCTTACCAATTGCCGTCAGGGCAAGATCATCCGCGTAAGCAATGACTTGGCAACCTGTGCCTTGCAACCGTGACAGCAGGGTATCCACAGTTAGATTCCAAAGAAGTGGGGAGAGAACACCGCCTTGTGGGGTTCCGCGACTCGCATATCTTGTTATAGATACCTCCCCCATCTCCGAGTAAATAGTTCTTCTGCCTAAGAGGCGACGAACAAACTCAACCATAGGGTGATCCAGCCCAAGGCGAGCTAGGACTTGAAGGACCGCTCCCGGGAGAACATTATTGAAGGCACCCTCGATGTCCAGGAACACGCCTAGTGCAAATTCCTTAAAAGCGAGAGTCTTTTCAATGGTGCTGACAATACTATGCAAAGCTGTATCCACAGATCTACCTTTCCAGTAGGCGTGTTGACAGCTAGAGAGATTATTTACATCAATTTCCTGTCGGATCTGCAAGTCTACAAGTCTTTCCAGAACCTTGAGAAAGAAAGAAGTAAGACTTATCGGTCGAAAGTCACTTGGTTTAACGTGGGAGGGTCTACCTCCCTTGGGAATAAAAACAACTTTCGCCAGGGTCCAACCCTTGGGTATGAAACTAAGCTTGATACAAGCCTTATAGATTAAGACAAGTATCGGACATAACACGTCAGATGCTGACTGAAGTTGGGCAGGGAAGATACCATCCACACCTGGAGATTTGTAGGGCTGGAAGGACTTTATGGCCCAGTCTACCCTTTGTACATCAATGAAGTCCGCTGAAGTCAACGGCCGTTCAGAGATAATAGCCGCGGTGTTGGGCTCCGCAGTACATCCTGGAAAATGCGCGTTCATTAGGACTTCAAGCATTTCCTCACGAGATGACGTCCAGTCACCATTTGGTTTCTGAATATACATCGGGTTCGTCGGACTTTTCGCAAGCACCTTTCGCAGGCGATTTCCCTCCGACTGACCCTCTATGCTATCGCAGTAATCCTTCCAGGAGTCCCTTTGGGCTTTCCTGGTGGCATTTTTAAATTTCTTCAGGGCTGCCTTATATGCAGCCCAAGAACCATCGCGCTTTGCCGCATTAAAGAGTATCCTGCTTTCCTTCCTTAGAGAGGCGATTTCTTTGCTCCACCAGTGTGGCTTCTTCTTTCCTCTCGGAAGTACAAGTGGGCAGGAAGCAGATAAGGCCGAATTACAGGCTTCGGTAATGCAATCAACGGCTTCTTCAATTTGTTCCGATGAGCCTAACTCACCGAGAGAAGCAAGGTTTGCGAGAGAAAGCTCCGCTTCATCAGGTGGGGACAGTAAGCCTAGCTTACTGAGAGAAGCCTTGTTGAGCAAATTCCCCGAGAGTACTTTCCTAAACTTAGTCCAGTCAGTACGTCTCTTGTTTCTGTAAGCGGCCGAGGCCGGAAGTTCAAAGGAGATTACAAATGAGAGATACATGTGATCAGAGAATGAATGGTCGCTCAGTACCTTCCACTCCCTAATACTCTCAAAGAAAGCGCTAGACGATAAGGTAATATCTAATACCTCCTTCCTATTTGAGGTTACAAAAGTGGGTTTATCCCCAATATTACAGATGGCTAGATTATATAATAATATAAAATCAAGTAACAACTCACCCCTCGGGTTGATGTCGGTAGATCCCCATACCGCGTGATGCGCATTTGCATCGGCTCCTATGACTATGGGAAACTTCCTCGAGTTGGCCTCTTTCACCACGTCCAGTAACCGAGCGGGAGGGCAGTCTTGGCGATCGTAGGCCATGTATGTACTGACCAGCCAGAGTGTTGTGGATTGGCTTTCCACAGAGATGCTCACCGTATCTTCATCGCTGAACTGTGTGAGTAAATTATAAGAAATACTTTTTTTGATTAATATACATGCCCTGATCTTACCTGCCACAGGTGCCGACACTATGCGGTAAGCATCAGAATTAAGTCCACAAACCCTGTGCTTAACAACCCAGGGCTCCTGGACAAAAACTAGCTCCTCCCCTCTATCACTGAGGTGCAGGAGCAGAGCTGCAGAAGCTGCTTTAGAGTGATGAAGGTTTATTTGTAGAACCTTCATCCACAGCTTATAAATATCGTCCCCGTCCATCACTTCTGGCGGGGTTCTATCGAACGCCTCAACGATGGTATCATCGGCGTCCTCTGAGTCCGACGTCAGAAGCAGGTTCCCGAACTCCCTCGTCCACCGGTTAAGTACCGATCCGTCACCAGAAACAGATTGCGTATCGCTATCTGTTTCCGCTGCCGAGTCTGACCTCACCACCGGGCAAGTGGCCTCGAGAACCTCCTGGACCTCTTGGTTAGAAGCAGGACCGCTCAAGGCGTTTTCTGCTCCAGATATAGGGCCGCCTTTAGGCGGAAGATTGCCAGCCTCGGGTTCACCCTCGGTGTTCCCCGGCTCTATCATTTTACCCTCATTCCCTTTTTGGGTTTTGAGGGTAATGGAGTAAAAGCCGTAGCTAATTACTCCCTTGCAGTCAGCAAGGATCGGGAGAGACTCCTCGTTTATCACCAAGGTGATGTAACGTTGCTGCTCCCTAACCTCGCTGACCTTCACTACTTTCCAATCAAGGGCTGGTAGTGCATCATTTGAGACCTGGATGATATCCAGAATCTCCTCAGGACTCGAGGGTTCCTCTGGGACCCAGGCTCTGGCTCGCGGCTTACAAGGGATTTCATCCCTGTGCACTGCCACCAAGTCAGCGCTGGGCCACAGTTCCCCAAGAGAAGAAATTGCTTCCTTATAAAGTCGCGCCGACCGTTCATCAGCGCAGGAAACTAATTTGATGCGGCCTTGGTAGAGACCAGCATCGCGGACAGTTGGCGCAGGGCCAGGATTTTTCCGGAGAATCTCCTTGTACACCCGGCAGAGACCCACCAGGACGGACCTCCAGTTGTCGGCCGTCAGGTTTCCTTCCGGGTGCCCCCTATCCATAACCGCCAGGATCAAGTGGTCCTTGGCCACATCACTGAAAGCCCTCAGACCCCTTGGAGGGTTAAGAGGGCTGTTAGCGTTAGAGGTTTTGGGCCTCTTAGGAGCAGCATCCACGTTGTCTGCTGACCGTTGCCTTTTGCTGCCCAGCTCCCTAGGACGAGAGTGAGTGGGTGCAGGTTTGTTGGCGGCATTTCCTTCCTGAGGTCGCTCACGACTTTCGGAGAGAACGCCCCTCGCCCTCTCAACCACTTCCCTCATACTCTCGGGAACCGGGTCATTGCCGAACTTCCTCAGTAGTCTAGAAGCGGCTCTTCTGTCCCTCTTCGCCCTGACTGCTGGTCGGACTTCTTTTTTGGTCCTCGAACCACTGGGACCTGGGACGCCTTTGCGTTGATCCGACTTCTTACCCTCAAGGGGCTTGCGGTCGGTGGTGCTGTCCGTGCAGGACTTCCGGGTGCCAGTATCGCCTTCTCCCGGCGCCGCTTTGGAGCTGCCCTCAAGGGGTGTACTCGCAGCTTCCAGAGATGTGGACGACTGGCACGAGAGGTCAATTGGCCGTGCAGGCTCCGCTTGCAACCCAGACGCCAGTTGACCACTACCCACCAGGGGTTTGTTGCTACTGACGCCGGGCGCAACATTTAGTACTGTTAGCCGTTTAGGCTCCTTCGGGACCGCTCCAGCGGCTACCGAAGATGTCGTTTTTAGACAGACTTTAACGCCGTGTCCGTCGGCGGCATTTTTACCCGTACAGGGATCCGGGGCTACATTTTTCGAGTTCATTATTTCTGGTTCGTTGGTCGCCTACTGAGCCGAAACCGTTCGGCGACCGAATATATGGGTAAGGGGAAAAACGGTCGGCCTCAGCAGAGCCCCATGCTGAGGTAAGTCCACCGTTACTCCCGGAGGCGGACAGGTATCCGGGAGGCGCCGTTAGAATACAGTCGGAAAACCCCCTGACTGCAAACCATCCAATGGGCACGGTGACGCATGACACCCTGGATTAGGGGGGCGTTTTATACCTACCGCCAGGTACCCCCTAGAAATAGCCTAAGTATGCCCACCCCAGCCCCCCTCGGACGAGCCCGTACGGCCTACCACTAGACCTAGATGAGGCAGGGGAGTTTATACCTCGGCCTTGGCTAGGCCCCGCCTGCTTGCACCACTGCAGCCATAGGAACAAGCCTACCTTGCCACAGCGGTGTAAGCAGCGATGCCCATTGCCCAGTCGGCACCCGCTTGGAGGATATATCTAGGAGGATTTTCGCCAACCCCAAACAGATTATATTTATTTATTTATTTATATTTTGATGCTGATTATCTTTCATCAAAAAATACCTTGTCTTCAGTGACAAAACTAAAACATATATTAATGTGGTTATGCGATAAAATTTTTTAAAAGTCATTACATCTCATCTCATTACAAAGTCCTTACATCTCATGTGCATTACAGCTCTCTACATTAGGGTAGTCCAAAAATGCATGTGAAAAAGTAAAGTCGGAATTTGTATGCTCTCACCCCCTAGGATTATTCTATACCGAAAAGAATATATCCCTATTTTTTTATTAAAATCTAAAAATTTTTAGAGGTAGCTCAAAGCACCCAAAGTTTTCCATGTATTTAATATGGGGAAAAAACAACTTTTCGTAAAAATTGTATGGAATTCTTGAAAATCAATATTTTTCGATCGGAAAACTCTGTTTATCTTCAAGAGATTCCCAGTAAAAATACCCAATTATTTATTTAACCATTTTTCATAGTAACCATATTTCAAAGGTCCGCCAAAACCGCCAGAAAATGCAATGCGGGGATAAATAAAAAATCTTTATTGTTAAAATATGGTTAAGTAATTAATTGGGTATTGTTACTGGAAGCCTCCTGAAGAGAACGAGAGTTTTCCGATCGAAAAATATTGATTTTCAAGAATTCCATACCATTTTTACGAAAAGTTGTTTTTTTGCCATATAAAATACGTGGAAAACCTTGAGCGCTTTGAGCGACCTCTGAATATTTTTTAATTTTAAAATAAAAAAATTTAGGTATATTTTTTCGATATGCATTAGAGCATATTTTTTCGATATGTAAGAGCATTTAAATTCCGACTTTACTTATTTTGGACCACCCTAATCTACAAAATTATGAACAACACCATAAGACATACATATTATATTGTATTATATGATATTATGCTATTTTATTTTGTATTATATTATATTATATTTAAGTTTTAAGTATTTTAAGTTTTCGTGAAGATTTATTTTTTCCAGAAGCCCAAGAGCAATGCTTTCGTAGCATGATTCAAATTATAAAACTGAGTATTGCTTCTTTGTGTTCAGAACACTGAGAAAACCAATGAGAGGTATTTTCCTTGCATATATTATAAACTTTTTAATGCCAATTTTTTGGGTATCTTTTTCAAAAATACTAGTAAAAATTTTTATATGTGTTAGACTTGCTTCTAAAAAAGTTTGAGAAGGTGCCATAAGAGTTCCAAAATCGCGAAGAGAATTGTAGTTTTTATGAAAAATAAAAAGTTCACTAGGGGCAGTCAATATGTCACTTTCCTTTCTTAATTCCGCAGTGCAAATGGTGCAGTTAATTTTGGGTAACATTTTAAATGCAGTATATCCAATAAAATATCTCAACGAAAATAAGTCTATGCTTACATTTGGACAGGACTCAAAGTCGTCCCTTAAGCTAGGATCACACGATTTGTACATTTGGCTAAAAATTTGTCAAATTCATAGACAAATCATGTGAACGCTAAATTACATTGGTCATTTATCAGAAAAGCCAAATATTTGCCTTCTTGTGGCAAATGAAAAACAACCCTGGTGGCCAAATCGTGCCAAATAAAAATTTCGCAAATGACCAAATATCTGATTTGCCACTTGATGTCAAATGCCAGTGACAAATATACAAATATTGTTGAGCGGTGTTGCCATTTCGTGCTTGTGAACATTTGTTTTTTCCAATTTTGGTAAAATTTTAATATTTAATATAATATTCGTATCCGAAAACTAACGAAAAATATCACGTTATTTGAAAACAATAATTTTAAAATATTTGCTCAAACTGAACATTTGAAAACATGTACATATACGTATTCGACAGTAACTGCGTGTGCAGAGAAGCGTGCGACTATTTGTAACCTTCATGAGGTCCCAGGTTCTTATGGCGACAGACGAACATATTAAAAGTATAATTAATTTCTGAGTATAATTAACTATGAAAAAGCATATTTGAAGTTCAGAATGAAAAATTTCAGAAAACCAACCGGAAAAGTATTCGTTTCACAACCCTTCGTGGCACTTTACTATTCACCTTTCTTTCAGTTTTCGGATCTCTTTCCGCAGTTTTTGCTGGCTATACACATACATATATATCGTCGTATAAAGTACAAAACCGCGTATCGCCATTCTGCAAAATCGCGTAACTGACATTTGCTGCCAAAAATTGAATTTGCTTACAGAAGCTGTTGGCTCAATCCTTATCCATTCGTCCTGAAATATACTATCCTGAAATGTGATTGTTTTATAAAAAAGAGAACCATTTTGAAATATGAGTGTTTTTACTATCTAGATAATAATTTATGCAACCTCACATAGGCGGCTTTGCATTTTGTTGATACGCGGTTTTGTACTTTAAACGACGATATACAGATTATTAAAGACGATCTAAATTACACTGTATGACAAAAAAAAATTTATTTAGTTTTTTCGAGGTTCACACTTGTTGTAGGTCTATTCAAGCAGTAAAATCTGCATACTCAGAATTTTAAATACACCCCCAAAATCTGGGCTTAAGGTCAAAAACCGCGTTTTTCAAGGGGTGACGCACAGGTATACTTGCTCGAAACTTTATTTCTGTTTACCCGGTGAAAAATACGTATTTATGTATGTGATACAAGATAAGACATTTCGCTGCTTACAACAATGTTAAAATTGATAATTTATCCTAAGAAATAGCAAAGGAATCAGTGATCAGACTTAAAAAAAATTTGTGTGGTAGAATCTAAAAAAAATGTGGTAGATCCCAGGTTTTGAATCAAACTTTGTGCAAAAAATAAAAAAAATCTGCAAGGTTTCTCCTAAATTGCAAACATTTTAATTAGAATCTAAAACAAAATTAATTTTATTATAATAAAGTGCAAGATTGAAGTTGATAAAAATTGCGTTGGTTTTGGCAATTTTTTTCTTTGACAGTTTCGAACATATTTTGAAATATTTCTGCAACCTTGCAGAGTGCTGCCAGCTTTTCTTTTTATCACATCACGATGTAGCGAACAAATGTGGCTCGTTCCAGAAATGCTACTTAGGATTTGCCGATTTTGACAATTCTCAAGTAAAAGTAAACAACGCTTTAGAAATTTGAGATGCACTGAAATTTGCTAATGCTTTCACAAAAATCGCCGGTTTTTATCATTTTCACTATTAATTCTTTTTGTAAATCATATATTTTGCAATTTAACACAATAAAACCATGTTTGATGTAGAAAAATTGAATATTGAGAAAGTTTGCTATTTTACAGTTTATTTTATCCTCCCATTCTGCCTGTTGTAAGTGTTTAGTGTTGGACAATTTTTGCTCTTAAAATTAAGAAAATTATGTTGAGCAAAAATAAAACTACTCAAAAACGCGAATATGTGGTAGATTTCAGACCTTGTGTGGTAGGTGTGCTCAAAAAAGTGGCAGATCTACAACAATGTGGTAGAAGTCCGATCACTGAAAGGAATCTTACAGAGTATATGGATGGCTGAGTGGAAGATCGACCTATCTCGGCAACCAGTTCGAAAACGCCCTATCTCAGAAAATTTTTTAACAACGCGCTATCTCAGAAAACTTTTCAAGAACGCCCTACTTCAGAATTTCATTGAAAAACGCCCTATCTTAGCTGCCGATTCAAAAACGCCCTAAATCAGCTTATTTTCAATGTTTTTTCGTTTGAGATAGGGCGTTTTTGAAATGAATCCTGAGATAGGGCGTTATTCAACCAAATTCTGAAATAGGGCGTTTTTCAATCAAACTTTGAAGTAGGGCGTTCTTGAAAAATTTTCAGAGACAGGGCGTTTTTGAACTGGCTTCCGAGATAGGTCGATCTTCCACTCAGCCATCGATATGCAAAATTTTAATTTTTAACATTTTTTCATTTTAAATTACGACTTCTCCGACTATTTTGTTAACTAGTATACATACATAGGGTGCCCATTCTGAAGACAAATTAACCATTTATAAATGTTTGTAAACAACGAAATGTTTTCTCTTAAATGGCATATGTAAGTATTTTTCATCGGGCAAACAGAAATAAAGTTACGAGCAAGTATATGCTTCAACCTATGAAAAACGCGTTTTTTACCTTCAGCCCAGATTTTGAGGGTGTATTCAAAATTCTGAGTACCTGTGCGTATATATTATTTTTGTTTATTCACTTCAAATCTCACGAAATCATAAATGCAAAAGTATGGTTGACACCGGATCAGCTGTTTAAGTATTTATGACCAAATCAAGGTACATTGAACAGGTAGTATCAGTAGAGAAGCTGATTTGATTTATTTTCAAATTATTTGGTCTCGAAAATGTCAAATATTTTTAATTTTTTCTCACAAAAATTCTGAATTGTTAAAATCCATTTGCATGTGAAACCTTTTTCCATACAAAACAAGCGATTGAATAGCAGCTTTTGGAACGTTCGCCCAACTCAGCAGCACAACCGCTGATTACTGGCCCTTGTAAGGATGGATCAATGCTTCGAGAAGCAAACAAATTTACTAGGAAAGAAAGTTGCAACAATTTTTATTTTTTCCAATTTAAATTTTTTATTTTTTATAATTTTTTGTATTTCACATGGTACGCTTTGATTTTGAAGAAAAAATTCAGAACAGTTTTTGACACTTTCGATACCAGAAGCAACAACAAAATACACGCAAATGTTGTTTTTGCTCTACTGATACTACCTGTTTAATGTGCCTTGGACCAAATGGTTAAATCGTGTGAATGAATGTGGACAATATTTGTCACTTTACTGCTGTGCGCAAATGTGTGCCAAATCATTTGGATCTTTGGCAGCCAAATCGTCTGATCGCAAAACAAATCATTTGTACATCGCTATCCAAATGCGCAAATGTGGACAAATCTAAATTTGGCATTTTGTGTACAAATGTACAAATCGTGTGATCCCTGCTTTACAATGCAATTTTCAAACACAAGATCTTCATTATCATTGT